TGTTGTTGTTTTGTTTGTTTTTTGGGGGGGGTGGGGGGGGGACGGGGGACGACACGACGGACACGACAGGAGAGATCAAAATATACCAAGAGGTCACGTGTACTAAGATACCCAAATGTACCAAGTTACCTTTTCAATAATAGTCCCAAGAATTACACAGTAATAGGAAAAAAACAAAAACAAAAACAAAAACCCAAAAAACAAATCACATACTGTGTCAAAAAAGGCTAAAGCAACAGAAGAAATATGGAACAATTTTTTTCAACTTCTACACCTTCCTACCCAATATATTCTTCTTTGTTCTCCTCAGTTACCAAGATATTTGAACCTCCTGATTTCAGCTCATGTGAGGTTACTTTTCCTAAGAGCTCCATATCCACACAAAAGTACATTTCCAAGTTACACTCTTCGATGTTGTTATCCCTGAATGACAAGGAAAAAAACACTGCAATGAATTCTATAATACCAACAAAAAAAAAAAAAAAATCCATAAAACACCACACACACACACACAAAAAATATCTACAAACCTTATCCAAATTAGGGAGTTGTAAAATTCAGTATCAATAGATTCTAGGTCCTTAATGGTAAGCTTTTTGCTCAGCATTCGTTTGTAGAAAGGCAGAGAAAAACCAGTATCAATAAATTTCCCATGAAACAATGCCTGTTGAACAGAAAAAAAGTTTGTTTAGCTTTTATTGAACTACTGATTTATTGAAGTATTTCTGTACTTGAATTCTTTTTTTCCTTTCTACTTCAAATAATAAAAAGCACCAAGTAGCAGTAGCAGCTTGGTATTTAAGTGGAACAAAACATTACATTAAAATGAGAAGAAAAAAAGATTAATTGACAAAATTTATCTAAACATATATTATCATCACAATTTAGAAATTCTTTGATTAAAAAAACCTTCTCATTAAAGGATAAAGTGTATGAAAAGATGAAATTACTAAGATTCCTCTTTATTATGTGGACACGTATATATGACAAGTGGCATTTGTTCCTACTTGATCATAATATTTGATTCTACTTGAGTACTACTGCCATTTTTTACTACATACATACATCCTGGAAAATCATCCTTTACACAATGCTACTGCAGCTTTTAAAAAACAGTTTAAAAATGCAATCACAGACTGCTTCAGATAGAGCTTTGAGAATCACATTTTTTATAGGTAAGAGAACTGAGAAATGAGATTCTCCCTTCTACTGCAAAAATGAAATTGAAAAAAAACCCAGAGCATGGTCACACTTGTCTCACAACGCATGCACAAAAAGTGTAACGTAATTTCTAGTACTGAAGCACAGCATCACACACACACACACACACAGGGTTAACCTTTATACTGACTCTGTGCATCTGAGTGCTAACAGAGCACAGCCGTAACTATGAAAACATTTTTTTTCCTCATCCTAACCAAGTACACTTTCTTCACTACAATACCTCTTTAAAAATCATCTTAAACATAGGCCACATATGGCATTCACTGCTTGTCTTTCGTTCAAGCTGAAATTCTATGAGCAGAAGCGCCAATGTAATGGCCTATTTCCTCTAGAAAAAGGCAAGGCTCCTTCTTTTCCCCCTACCTTCTAATTTCCCCTCTAAGATTCACCCTAGCATGCATTTTCTTCTGCTTTAGGAGAGCTTAAATAGGTTCTCCCAGAGGCATTTCTTTATTTACTTTTAAACTAGTCGATATTTCTCATGGAAGAGCAAGCTGATAGAAACAGAAAAATTAAATGTCGACTGCAGCATCCAGCCATACGATTTCCTGCTTTTTGCAAAAGTAAGCTCTTAAATCATCTCATTCAATGTTTATTATAATAATCTTACAGCAATATATAAAAGTTGCCTCAGCCAACCTCATTTAACAGCTTTTTGTTACTAAGATGTGCATTCTTTATGATTAACCCCATTTCTGTTGAAAACATCTGTGGTTATTTCAGTACTTACAGCCAAAAGAAGTATTTATGATCTGAAAATCACAACTATTTTACAACTGTGAGGACAGAAACTACAACTGCACTTAAAAAGCTTATCTAGGCTCCTTAAAATGATTCCCACTTACATTATTACCTGAGCTATTTTAAGCCCCTAGAGCGTATCCTAGGAAGTACTGCAGGACGTGCCATCCACTACAAACCATGAATACGTCCAAACCTCGGAACTGACCACATCAGGCACCACTACACAGGTCTCTCTCTCTCTACCCCCCCAAAGGATTTAAAATAAAAATTTAAAAATGCTTCAGAAAAGAAAATTTCATCTTTTAATTACATTAAATACTTTAAGTACTCTTCTATGATCTGTCCTTCTATGAAGTAGTTTTCCTAAAGTTAACATTTCAGTTATGGATTTATCTTCTGCACAAGATCAAAAATTATGGACTACAAGAAACAGAATTTGGCTCTAGCACTTAACTGGCTTTATCACATCTTCTTGTTAAGCGGCATTATAGCTTGCTGAGGATCGTAAAAGAAAGGAAAAAGCTGGCAGCCTATTGAAAATGCTAACCCAACGAAATTAATTTTCATGATAGCACAGAAATGGGGAACTTGGTCATAAAATCCTTGAAATCAGAGATGTTATCATCAAAACTGAACAAATTTGTTTCTCAAGAAGGATCTATGAGACAAGCAGAACCAAGGAAACCCCCAAACCTAACTTATTTTAAGTCTGAAAGTATTTTCCCATTTATGTTACACTTTCCTTGTATTTATTCTAATTTCATACAAAAAGCATGAACAACAGGAGAAGACAACAGTCTCTTCAACCTGAAAATGCACTTTGATCTACTCTTTTTGATTTCACTATTCACCACGTTCATGTTGCTGAGGGCTACCCATAGACATCATGATGTTTACGTGGAAAGATGACTGTATCACTAGACGGAAGGAAGGAAATGTGACAGAGCAGGAGCCCACTACAGAAAACGGACTCAGTGATACCAGCAGAAGAAATGATACAACATGCCTCATCAGCATTTAGTTTAAGAGAAACCTGAAGGCAGAGAATCAGCTCCCTGACAGCTTCTGCTCTCCTCAGTATCTGACCTTTGTATCCAAGTACGTACATTTAAATTAAGGCTCAGTATACTCCATAAAACATTTCTAGCTCATTTTTTCAAATACAGTAAGTTATGCCAAGTCTAACTGAAGAGCTTTTTTTTGGAAAATACTAGTCACGTTTTCAGAGCATCAGTATTCAGACACTCAATCAAACAGCGGTTTGCGTGAAGTACACACATCCAACTGATACAAATAAAATATTATATTGAATGTCATATTAAGTCTCATCACTATCCCAGGAAACTTGAGTGCATAAGAGACTTCACTCTCAGGGAATATTTCGGCTAAATAACCTTACACGCCTTAATCTTCCATTTCTAAGAGATTAATATAACCCTTAATGACTGTAAAAACAAATACTATTTAGGAGTAAATGTATAGCTACAGCAAATAATAAAACCTTAAAAATCTAACCTACCATGGCAATAAAGCGCCCAATGAAACAGAAATATGAAAGATGGTCAGGATTGATTGTTGATGCTGGATTTATCTGCAGGCAATAGTTGCTCTTGCCAGCATATTCAAATAGGCAGTACATAGGGTTCAGTACTTCATGGGAAAGCAAGAAAAACCATTCTCTAAGGAAAAAAAACATGTATATACATAAAAACCATCAAATACAGATGTTCATCACCATTCCCCTTACGTAACTAGCAAAATGGTCAAAATATATGCAAACTTCAAAAAATGATATGAACAGTATTGTATATGTATTTTATTAGAATCACAGAATAATATAAGGCATTACATACTTATTAAATATAAAAAAAATTCATTTTTAGACATGATAATGTTAGAAAGCCACGGTTTCCAATGTTCAGAAACGATTGTTAAGACTGTCACCTTGAACACACCCTCACAGCACAGGTTTTAGCTGTGGATCAGTAACATTTTTGCCTACAGAGTCCTTACCTCCACCACTACACAGTATTTATCCTCCTCATGCCTGCTTTACTGCACACAACTCCAATCTTCATTCAGAAAAATTACAGGTTATTCCATGGGCAGTGCTTATTAAAAACAACTTCGGTAAAACAAAACAAAACCAAAACCCCACACTACAGCACACCTTATTTGCTTTCCCAATCTGACAGCAGAACACACACAGAGTTACTGTGGTTTAACAAATTACCACGCATCAGTTAAACCCACAGGACACAACAATGTGAAAATGTATTTTTCTTGAGGTTTAACTAATACATGTTATTCACCACTTTCACAGCTTTCAACTCAGCCAACCTGAAATAATAACAGAATGGCATTTCTGTGTTAGGGTAGCTGATTTTTAGAGTACTTGTTGCTTTATGGTATTTGCATATAATCAGAGACCTCAGAAGCAGTCATACATACTCAGGAGTTTTTGTATCAGGCCCTAAATGCTTGGAAGTGAACAACCAGGCTTACGGAAAAGCCACAAAAAAAGCTAAAAGTCTATCCTATAATAACTGCAGGGATCGAATTCCATCCTGCTTGCCTTTCAGCTGTCACATTTAAGAGGCATTTCTTCTATCCCTGTATTTACCCGAGATCGGGGAATAGAAATGTGAGGTTTGCTGGCATGTTTCTCCTAACAGTTCTATGAAACAAGTCATGGACTACGATTCACTACAATATGCTTCCAAGCCAAAGGCTGAGTAAACAGAAAAAGGTAGCTAGGAGATGATAACCCTAATGGGGTTCTGCGTCTCTTTTTAACAAGCACGAGAATGTTGTACAGCATTCTATGCAAGTTTTATACTAAGACAATTATAATAACTCTGCATAGAAGCATCAACTTTAATAGACATTTAAATTAGATCGAAGCCAGATACCAAGGGAGGAACCAAAGACATCAGTCATCAACAAGAAGTTTGCAGAAGCAATGAATTTTTCACGTCAAAAGCTAGAACTAACCACAGGACATAGTGTTAGATTGGTCCTGCTAAACACAAGGTAAAAATCTGGAGGGAATACAAGTTTATCCTGCTAAGACAAGTGATAAATCAGGTGCATCAGCTTCCTATGTTTGTATTAACGCAGTATTACATTAGCAAGTAAGCACATGAACATTTACTCAAGTGTCACTTCAGAATTCTCAGCTCCAGTTATTATGAGATCCTTCCTGATTTTCAATTTCACATACAAAATCTTGGACAAAACTTCTTCCTAAAACTATGAAATTATACTACTCATATATTTATTCTTTGTTTATTTATTTATTCTGCCCCTTTCTGTGACTAACACTCTTCAGTTTTATTATTCTAACATCACTTCTTAGGAATACTTTGTTTCTCTGGAACAGCTGACTTAAAACCTCCTGGTTCCCATCCTTTGCCTAGGGCCACTAACCAAAACCCATGCATAGTGAAAACTGGATTCGTCCCTGCAGTCACCCGCCAAAAGCCTCTCAGATGTTGTAATTCAGAAGCATAGCCACCCACATACCCAAAGAAGCTGAACTTTCAGAGGCAAGCTTCCTTACTTGCGAATACTACGCATTTTCACTGAATTTCTTTTTAACACAGTAAGCTACATAAAACCAGAATAAAACCAGAACAGAACACCTTTATATTAAAAAAAAACACAACCAAACAAGAAAAATCCTATCGCCTATGACTATTTATAATTCCCTGGATCTGCAGCAGTACTGAAATTTTCATCCCAATAGTAAAATTTCAGTCAAGGAACTGGCAGCAGTAGGCGTGGTCATCTTCTACATGGTCAACAGATGAAACATACTTTGCCTATGGTTTTCCTGTTATCAGATTTTACCTCCGAGTTTCACTTCAGTTTTCAGAAAAACTTGGCAGCCTATGTAGTGTGTTCATCTGCTATCACCTAATGCCTACACTACTCTCCTCGTTTATGTCCTTTCTGTTCATATCAGTCCCAATCTGGTATTTGCTTGTTTTTTTCTGAATAAGCACAACACTTTTTCCACAGTCCCTACCTGTAGGAAAGTGGAACTTTCTGATAGAAAGTTTCTGAAATAGTTCAGTCTAGAGCAACTAACTGGCATAAAAAAATGGCATAAAAAAAATCCAATTTAAACATCAGTCTTTGTCAAAGAATTGAACAACTGAGACCACAGTTTTACCAATGCAAGGCTGTAACTCATAGCAATAGCCAATGCTGCCAGTTCTACCTCCTTAATACATTAAGAGGAGCTAGAAAGATAATCAGGGTCAGACTGCGAAAGGAGGCTGTTTCTTTGCCAACAGAATGACATTAGAAATCAAGGTTAAAATGCTATTAAAAAAATAAAAACTATTCTGAACAGATTTTCTTTTACCTTGCCAAGCCACCATAATCCAATCCTTCTTCTCCTCTGAATATAACATATAATCTTCTCCTCAAATCATAGGGTTTTAACGCCATAATCTATCAAAAAACCAAAAATTTTAGCAAGTTATAAATTATGCATTGTCAATATAATCACTCCTTATTCAGATTTTATTTTAGTGATACAGAAATGCCACATATGTCAAATGTTTACACAGATTTGACAAACAATTAGACCATCTCATGGAACATTCAATCCATGAACTGCACACAAAAATACCAACTTGGACTTAAAATCCTTGAGCAGCAGACTGCTAGCAAGCGGGGAGCGTACCTGTGAAGTATGACTATATCGTAGCCCTGTTCTCATACTCTTCCTAAGGCATTCATTATTGTTACAGGAAAACAGGCAAAAAGGCATTTCATTAGATCTAATACAGATTTTTGGTTTTAGGCAAATCACTTTAAAAAGTAATTTACTCTAATACAAAATAAGTGTAATATACTTTCATTAACAACACACTTTTTACTTCTAGAGAATCTCTCCCAAGAGGTTTTGATGTGCTAACAGCAGCAAGAATTTTCATTGTTACAGAGAAAGAAGGAAGAAACAGACTGGCTGCAGACTGTAAGGGCTCAGGAACTGTAAGCTTCAATTTAACGTTTGAAGGACAAAGCAAGACAGCAGTTTTAATTGGAGAAAACACCATTTTGTAACGTATATAACCACACACAAGAACCAGAAATGCAAATCTGATGTGGTTACATTAATATGGTATGCAATGCGGTCAAGCTATGGAACTCTTCACCACAGGAAGCTGTAGATGCAAAAAGTTCAGAAGAGGAGCACAGACTGGTTCACAGAGGAGAAGCCCCCTGAGGATTGTTAAATACCCAGAAACCACATCAAGCTCAAGAAGCATTTCAATTGTAAACAGTTGGGAGCTGAAAGATAATTTGGTAAAACTACTATATACATTACTTTTGTTCTTACAGTCTTTCCTAAGAACCCGCCTTTGGCTAACGCCAGAGGAAGATTATTGTGCCAGAAGGACCATTAGTCTGAACCGGCTATGGCCATTTTTGTTCTTATGCTTTATCTTGATAAACAAACACAACAATCTTTGCAGGCTTACTTGCTGGAAGGAATCCTCAAACAAAGTTTGTCTGGATACATTGATTTTCACATGACTTGGCAGTGCATTAGACTGTAATCAGAAAGCAATAATGTTAAAAGGCAGCACACCTACATGTAAATTCAAATAGTTTCAAAAAGTAAATAATTACTTCATCAGTACCTGACACAAGTAACGGAAATGAGCAAGTTTCCACCTAAAGCTACGCTCATAAGCAATCTGTGGCCCTTTATTTCTGTAAAGAAATATATTTCAGATAGATTAACCATACAGACATTAAACAATACTTTCAATGCTAAACAACAGCATGTAGATTTCATAAATACACAAAAATTGTTATCCTAAGATTTGATCAGAAACAAAATGCAGTTGATGGTTTGGTCAGCCAGTCTTCCTTTCCGCCTCACATACCCCCCTCTTTTTTTTTTTGTTTGTTTTTGTTTTTTTTTGTTTTGTTTTGTTTAAGATGCTAGTCAGTTTACCAAATTAGAGAGAAAGGCAGAGATCTAGAGGATTTCAAATCCCTATCAATCTCATAAAAATTACAAGACAGCTAAAGAAAAGACATCTTTGCATTCAAAGTGTATAAAAACTATTGAACCTTAGAGCAATACAGCAAAGTGTGTCATAGACAAACTGATAATTAAAGCTTAAAAATAGACTAAATTTACTAGACAATAATTTGTTCATAATGTAGCACTCAATTTCAGCTAAAAGTATAGACTGTTTTCTAGTATGAGCAGACTTCATCATTAAACTATAACAAGTTAAGACTTTTAAAAATATATTTGATTTCTCACTTACACAGACGACTTCCCAGTACGAGGATCATTGAAGGTGGTGGTTCTTGTATTATGGTCAACAAAGTATCTGACACCTTCTCTGGTATATCTGATTTCCCAGCCCTCTGGAAGAGGGTCCTCATTTTGTAAACTGCAGAAGAAATTGCAGACAGTACTTTTCCCCCGTATCGTGATATATAAGAATTAAGCAGAATTTTTTTATCTGCAGTCAATATACACACCTACCCTTGAGTTCGAGGGTCTTCCCACTGTGTTGTCTTTGTGTTATGATTTACAAAATACACCCTATCATTTGAATCCACTCTCCTTTCTAGAGAAAAAAAAAAAAAAAAAAAAAGAAAAAACCCACTATTCAACAACTGCAGTCCACATTTCTGTAACTGTCACTTCCTGAAATCAACAGCTAATTAACTTACCCCAACCTGGTGGTAAAGGCCCAAGTGGATCATTTTCTGCTGATAACATCGAGGCCTATTTCAAAACAAGAGGACATGTAGTTAGGCCAAATTTTATTCATGTTTTTTTTCCTTAATGTGTTTTAAGATTACCACTAGTTTTGAAGACTATCTATTCTGAAAAAACATCATGCCATTTTTAGTCTGTTTTTATGAAGAAACATAGATTATGCAATAATAAGATACGATTTGTGCACTTGAATCCACTGTTTCCTACCCAATGCACCCTCCCTTTCCCCTCATACAGCAAAACTTGAGAGAGTGTCAGCGGTCTTAAAGATGTGCAGTTCACAGTAGTTTTGCGGAAGCACGTATAAGCAGATAAGCACAATCTTCTTGGTTAAGAACGTGCTTTACAATGATAAACATTTCCAAGCACACTGATTACTGCCAGCATAGGGTTTTTTGCTTCCTCAATACATGGTGTCCTCCCTGAATGTTTGGCTATTTTCAGACTTTGACATCCTTTGAAAAAGCAGCTGCATTCATGAAAATACGCAGATGGTCAAAATTATACCAACATACAGTAAGGTCAAAAGGAAAAAAAAGTAAAAAATCCAGATTTAATTATTATGTAAAACCATGCTAAGCTTGTAATATACTGTAACCTTGCAGAAGTCCCCAAGTAGCTCCCAAGAATACAAAGCATGGGAAAAATAAAATGTAAAAGGCAGAAATCCCCCAGACTGCAGAATCCATGCTCTGTTATATAATTAAAAGCTCCCAGCCCTTAACACTTTTTGGACACTAAAATTCCATTCCCCCCTCCCTTTTTTTTTTTTTATTTTTTGTTCATTTGTGCAGAATGGAATTTTGATATATGAGAACCAATCTACATTTTCCAAAGAGTATCTTAAGGATCAACTTGCTACTAGTACTGCTTTATATAGCATTTGCAATCCAAAAATCTCAAATCCACTTAAGAGTTTACAACAGTAAATTCAGACAAAAAAAGCTACTATATTTTTCCCGTGAAACAGAGCAAGGACCAGAAGAAAATGTAACAGTTACACTCAAAATCAAGCTGCCTCTTTGTTACGGCCACCAGCCACTAGATGTGAACAGAGAATTCTCATTATCTCAGCAGCAAATGCAGTTAGCCTTTTCTGCTTTTGAAATCTATACAGTCACAATGACCCTGTAACCAAAGACTTCTCTGTGGCGAGTATAATAAGAATAGCGCACGACAGAAAACACCATCTGCCAAAGAACTGAATGGTGGCACGATTCAGAGATCTCCAGTCATCTTAACGGGACCAAGGATCTGTGTGTGGCTGCTACTTAATGTACATTTATCAGAGCACAGTGAAACAGTAGGCAGTGGCATGGGATGAGTCAGATTCAATACCAAAAGGAGTACAATATATTAACCCAGGTAAAAATAAAAGTAACTATAATAGCTATATCCTATGTATTTTTCTCCCTTCACATAGATTAAGCAACTGATCAAGTAATACACAGGAACAGAAAGCTGCTCAGGGAGAGGTCTTGACTTGATATGTTTCAGCTGGTATGTTTCTCAGATTTGCATTAGAAGTTAGCAGTGTGTATAAACACCTGAAGGGTGGGTGCAAAAAGGATGAAGCCAGGCTCTTTTCACTGGTGCCCAGTGTCAGGACTAGAGGAAATGGGCACACGCTGGAACTCAGGAGGTTTCCTCTGAACATCAGGAAGCACTTTTTCACTGTAAGGGTGGCCAAGCACTGGCACAGGTTGCCCAGAAAGGTTGTGGAGTCTCCATTCTTGGAGATACTTAAAAGCCATGTGGACACAGGCCTGGGCAACCTGCTCTAGGTGGCCCTGCTTGAGCAGGGGAGATTGAACGAGACAGCCTCGAGAGGTCCCTTCCAACTTCAACCATTCTATCGTATCTCTAATTGCATAAGATAAATTTACTTTGATGCACAGCTCCAGGAGTTACAAAATTAGTGGTGATGCATGTTTCTGCTATTGCTAGTGATAAGATATGATGTCTAATTAGGTAATTAAGAGGCTGAGAACTGTTAAATGTAGGAATACTGCAGATTTCTTTACTTCAGAGGGATACCTGAATAAAGTCCATCAAACTCAAAGCAAAGTTAGGTCTGCAGATGCACAGAGTCCTAGTCCAATGAAGCTGTTTCAGACCTGTACTCCAATGATTACTTCTTTAAAACACTCCAGCTTTGCTACATATCACTTACAAAGTTTCTGGGACTGGATCTTTTTTTAAGAGACCAAGCACAATTCTTAAAATGGACTGTTTAGAGTGATAGTGACATGCAGGCATTATCATTCTTATGCCTGAATAAGCAACTAGTCTATTTATCCTGTTACAGATGGAAAAATCTGTCTCAAGAAATATATTCTTTGAAGCTACTCATGATAGTTGCTCACTTCCTCCTGAAGAAAGTATGTGAGAGAAATGGAAAACCATGCAGGTGCGTAAGCTTCAAAGTGAGCTCAAAGTAGAAGAACTGCCACCTGTACTAATGAGTGACTCCTAATCACTAAAGCAGTTTTGAAGGCCATTTAACACTCAAAATGCCCATAACCCAGCTTTTAGATTCCTTTACAGCTGACTGCTTTAGTTTTACCTCTTACTACTGTCATTGAAAGTCTCGAGTATCATGCAGTACACAAGGCAGTTTTAAAGTGATTTTTATAAAAGTTAAAGAACAAAAAGTACACCTAAACCTCTCTATGCATTTCTAAATTTTATGTAAAAGTTACCGAATAGAGGTATCGCTGGTTAAATTGTTGCATAGCTCCCTGCAGTTGATTCCGTTGAGACTGCCACTGCTCAAAGTTTCTGACCGATTCCATTGTTGGTCGTTGCCACGTTGTTGTTCTGGTGTTGTGGTCCACATAGTAAACTCTCCCACGATCATCAACTCTCCTTTCCCAGCTTTCAAGAAACACAAATGTCAACAGCTAAATTTTTCCATAGTTACATAACTGATATTCTCTTTATGCTCAATTCCTAGACAGTACTCGAATGAAGTACTGGGGTCAGAGGCATGAATTTAATTTCTAAAGTACACAAAAGTACTCCCCAATTTTACTGGTAGAAAGACAACCATACTGAGCAAACAGACTTCAACAGACTGTTACAGCATGCACAGATCTCTGTCACCTCACTTTCAAATTTGTAAATTCCTGTAAGCATAAGCAATGTTCACAGGTTTCACAGAAAACACTTTGCCTGGAAATCTGAGGTTTGGAACCAGTGCACTACACCTAGTGGTGCCATAAAGGTGGTCAAATGTGCATTATTTAATGCTTAAGTTTTAAAGGAAGAACAAATTTCAGTAGCTGCATTTGAACAGAACGTTTGTTTGGATCAGAACAAGCGACACATATAGTACCAACGTTCCAGTAACAACAGCTGAAATTAATGTAATTCTAAATTAACCGAAAGCTAGAATTTCTTAATACATGATGTATAATAACAGTTTTGATGAGCTGCTTATAAAAGCCAGTATTTTTCCTGCACCAAACAAACAAAAAACCAGTACCTTTAACACACTTATATCAAAAAAGTCTGCATTACCCTGGAGGTAAGGGCTGGGGTCTTTCCCATGTTGTGGTTCGTGTGTTGTGATCAACATAATAGGTTCTACCATGAGGATCCTTTCTTTGCTCCCACCTTCAAGACAAAAAGACTTTCATGTAAGTCAAGCTGAAAATGCTTCCTTACGACTTATTTCCCACTAAGCCAAAAAAGTACTTTGGTATTGAGTGAAAATACTATGATCCAGCACACATTCTAAAACACCAAAGAAAATTCACACTAGAATACTTATCAGTTAATTCCTACTTGAACTGATACCACCATAAAGACTTCTTTAAGGAACTTGGTAGAGAAAATGAGTGTACATCAATATTTATACACATTTTCAAATTCTGCTTAAGATATCTGAAAACAAAGCCAATTAATTATCCGCTCAAGGCTCAAATGCTAAAATAACCTCATTCAAACAGTGCTTAGAGATGCGTTCTTTGCATTTCCAAGCACGTCTCTCAAAAAAACCAGGGGGTTCACATTTTGCAGCACTGTTCCCCATATCCAACAAACAACAGGATCTTTCAGAGTGAACCTGAAATGTGTGCTAGCAGATGGTTTTCCTGTGTTTCTGTTTCCTATCCTGGTAAATTCTCTACATGATTTCCCTGGGGATTATTTCTTCAGTTTTAGTTGCAAAGCAAACTTACACTGAAGATGGAGAGAGGACCAAACATAAACAACTGAAGTTTCATGCTGCTGAGAACTGCCATAATGCAATAAAAGTATTTTTAAATGGGAGAGGAAACCAGGATAAATGTCAGACGAAAAGCTGAAGCCCTTGCTTGCATTATATATATGTTTATTTTTCTTATATACGTAATTAATTAGCTCCTAAAAATGTAGGCTTGCCTGCTACTCATAGGATTTGATGTGCATTTCCTCATTATTAGCGTATCCTATAAAATTCCTACAAAATATTTTCTGCAGTTCAAGAGGTTAAATGCTAAGATTACAAGAAGGTAAGACAGAAGCAGGAGCATGTTACAGAGTTCCTAGGGTTAAACATAACGGAGACTCAACTGGACTGGGGAAAATACATTAGGCCATAGCATGCACTATGTCTGGAACTCATGACCCTGTCCTCAACGGGAAAGCATGTATTTAATTAAAAAAAAAGAAAAGTGTATGTGGAGGGGGGATGACCACAGGAATTCCCACCTATAAAGAGCTTCCATTGTCAAAGCATCTGAAAACTAAAAACTTTGTAACTCTTCCCCAACAATATATATACAATACTTCTATCTTTTTTAGATGCTTGTTTGATGTTTATCCAAGTGTCACTAATAACTTACTGAACCTCCTTCAGAGGGAGCAGGTACAAGACAGGCTCTCTGAAAAATCAACTATAATGACACAAGGCATATACACTTAGGGTCAAGAAACAATTTCTGTGTTCAGAAAATGCTAAAATAGTTTATATTTAGAATACTATGGAAATGTCAGTATTTCCACTTAGTTACTGAAGACATCTTTTCACCTCAACACCAAAGCATCTATTAAAAAAATTTAAGATTGATATGTGTATTTGAGCATGTACTGTATTTTCATTTATTATCTAAGCACATCTCAATTTTGCATTTAAGGTACAGGACTACAGAAGTAATTTCTAACAGCCTAGTAGAATTAAAAGTTTCTAGCTATTCTGAGGACACACACTTCAAATTTGTATTTTTATCTATAACATCACTGAGCTCATTGTTACACAGCAACCACCTACAAGTATTTCTATACTATTTTATTAATTTTCACTTCCCTGTGTTTTGGCCCCTATATGTTCTTATAGTTTAAGAGCCAAAGGAGTAACAAATTATGACCCAAATAAGTCTGAATATATCAAATGAAAAGTCTTCACGTCCATAATGACCAAGAGTTTGTCTATTTAGATCAGAATACTATCTCAGCAAATCAGTCGTCAGTGGTTACTTTCTGGGACAAGAGCTACTAGCCAGTTACAGCAGCAGTACAAACCCCATTTTAGATTAAATAACCCCGTCTCAGCCAACTGGCCTGCATTTGTCAATCTCAGTATGCAAATAAATATCTGTTTCCTTATATGCACGTTCAGACAAAACATAATTATAGCATTAAAATCAAACTCACATACCCTGGTGGCAAAGGTTCTGTACTGGCATTACCAGGCTGCTGTCTTACAGGTTCTGCAGATGCACTTGAGGTGGAGGAGGACTCCCTTGGTTTTGCTGCATCTGCTCCTATACTGTTTCTAGCATTAGGTTGAGCACAGTCTGTTGCAGCTGTAGGTTCTAGTCCAGCAGACACAGCAGGTAATGCAGAAGTGTGGATTTCAGAACAACTAGTTGCTTCAGTTGCTGACTGAGGTTCTGCTGTAGTGTTAGTGCAATCTGAAGACACAGGAGCTTCGACTGAACCTACCGGAGCCTCAGAGACAGAAGAATTACCGGCTTCTGCTGCAGAGGCAGATGACTCGCCATTAACTGAGAAATGGGAAATAAGAACATCTGTGTATCAGAATACCATTAGATTTACTTATCACATCAACAACTTTTGGAGTAAACGACACGTATGGAATAAGTCACACCTATATGCCATAAACAGCATTTTTGTCCAACATGACAAAAAGTCACATTGCACCTGCCTCAGTTAAAGCTGTAATTAAAATTTAACTGTCTGCAAGCCATTATCTATACTTCCACGCTAAGGTAATTTCTTAGTTTCTGTATGTCTTGGTCAACTCAGAGCTACACCTTACTCTTTACATTAGCAAAAGGTACCCATCTGCTTCCCAGAAAACAGTACTGCTTTATTTGCTTTGAAACTCTGAACTTGTACCAGCTTCAAAAACGAATCTTGATTAATATGACATGAACGAAAAATATTAAGAGATAAATAACTCTGAGAAATTTGGAAAACTAAGAGGCAGTTCTTACAGATGATTTTTTTTCGTTTTTCAGAGTCAAGGTGCATAAACCTTCAATTAAGCAAAAACCACCTATGTGTAATTTTGAAAAAAAAATCCCCCTGCAAAAGCAGGATTAAAATATAAAAATTAGTATTTAGGTAAGGTAATTTACATAGTTGAATGACTGGCAAAAATGATTCTAGAATAACAAAGAAAACCAATTTCTGTCTTTTGAAGAACAATACAAATGTCATCCAACTCAAGTAAGCATAATCTTATAATAGGTTTAAAGCCAGCATAGATTTAGGAGGAAAAGGGATCTAAAAAGGCTTTATCAGTCCCAAGCCCACTTGGCCAACAATACATCAATACCAATCATCTGCAGAGCTTAACAGAACAGTATCTCAGCACAAGATCTTGTCTTAGACAAGCAGAATCAGGTATGGCAGTCAGTATGACCCCCATTAAAAGTCAAGGCCCTATTAAAAGCAGTGCAACATCATTCACAGCTTTCATTTTCTGCACCACTAAGGAATACCAGAGAGTTACAATTCTATTTAAACTCATCAGTGTGTAGCTCTTCTAGAGTTGGAACTATTTTTCTACAAAATTAAATACAATATGCAACGCAGACTTCAAATAACTTTCTACCTAATAGCAGACAATCAGCTTACAATTCTAAGGACTGAGGTCAATACAATTGCTCTGTACTCCTAACTCTATTGATACAGAGTTGCAAAATTTAACCCTAGAGTAGTGCTATAAAATACTGTTTCATCATTTTAAAGAGCTCATTTATTTTATTTCTGTGTAACACACAAATAAAAACATATCTAGATTCTACTTATTAATTGCAGTATGTATATAATGTCAGCTGTCTCTTCCTTTCCCAGATGGTCAGAAAAGCAGGTCAAAGAGTTACAAGCAATAAAACTGTCATCAGCATTGTATTTAAACTAGCAAGTCAGTTTCTTTAAGGAATTATCACTGGGCCATAAATATTTTCTTGATATGCATAATGATCAGCATGATTTTACAGGCAGCAGCAGATTTGTAAGGTCTATAAAGGCATTGCTCTTTCAACACAACTATTCCAGTGTAATACATAGCTACTTCCAGATCACACAACGCAGGTTAACTACATTAAGATATGTACAAGACTTAGTATTATTTCAACCAAATGTAAAACATTACATTAAAAAAAAAAATCATAACTATAACCCGATCAAGTTTTTTCAAACTTCTGCTTTAACTAGCAACATTTTTACTTAAACAGGGAAAAAGCCAACTGAACTTTCAGTTTCCATTTAAAAAAAAAACATTCAATTCATCCACATGAAAGAGTGAATGGGATTACATAATAAAATTAGAAGCAAAATAACTGACAAATCATCAGCTCTTTTAGTAAGCTGATCTCCAAAACAGATCTATAAAACATTACATAAGCCTATTACCTGCCTTGCCATAAAAAAAGTCTCCACCAGCTGGTACAGTAGTTCAGAACAGTTATATCAGTGCCTCAGTGCAAGCTTCAGTGATGATTTCATCAATATTACTATTTGAACAAATCAATTATTTTTGCAATTACCCTAATACAGATTTCAAATGGATCTCTCTGCTATTGAAGAAAAAAAGGAGCAATGCCTAAATAATATATATGCCCTCTGGCCTTCAACTGAAGAGAGAGGGGAATCAAATTCAAGTTCTACAAATAGAGAAAAGCTTCAGAGAAGGCTTAATTTAATTATTACCTTTTAAAGTTCATAATTGTGTCTGCTATCTTCCCATCATATCCACATTTCCCATTCTGTTAGAGAAAGTTTGACAGTCTCTCTTCTACTGTTTATTAACAGCTTGCCTATTTCTGTTTCTTTTTTTCTCTGTTATGACTGTAATCTCTCTCAACAGCTGAGAAAAGGCAGAAAGTGCTTAGAAAGCACAGTCATTATTAGATGCAAAGTTTTGCCAGAGGAACAAAAATTAAAAAAGGCTTTCTTTTCACTTGGATTACTGTACTGAATGTTACCTGTAGCCATAATAAAACATTTTTGTGTTTAAGAGGAAAATGAAATTTAGTATTTGCCAATACATGTTCTGAAACAGCATACTTTTTGAAAAAACGGAAGGCAAGGAGAGTCTGCCACACATCTCAACTCTGAGCACAGCAGTTCCCTGACAGCACTAAAAATCAGATTTATCTAATGGCAAAAGAAATTTAACTATAGTTGCTCAGATTAATTGCGAAAGAAATCTGATTTTTCCTCCAGGCAATCAGTAATATGATTTAGTCATCTGGAACAGAGAAATGGAAGTTTTGGATGTTTTACATCTTTATTCATCAAAGAATACAACAACTGACAGGAAAATATCAAAGTTAGTACATTTGAAAATGAACCTACTCCAGAAAAATTCACAGAAGTAGACACAAAAGATTATAAATTCAAGCCCAGAAACACCCTTTCAGTATTTTTGAAATTTAACAAAAAAATTTGTAGAAAAAGTGGCTCAACTGCAAATACATTTCAACCAGATAAAAAAACCTTATGGAACATGTTTTCATAAGTCTCCCATTCTTACCAGTGCTGCTGACAGGCGGAGTTGCAAGTGGTTTTGGTACTGGTGTATTTTTGGGTCTGGCTGCAACATGAGTAGGAGATGGTGCGCTGTCTCCATTAACAGCTTCTATACAGAATGTATTCTGTACTACAGAGTTGGAAGGTACTTGATTGTCTATCCCATTAGAAATGTCACAAGCAGATCTTGGTAAAAATAAAAGATCATTTTAGGTTACTACAAACAACATGTTCAGCAGTTATGCAACTAAACCAGACCCTGCACTAAACCATACTAAAGAAACAAATGAAGAAACAGAAGTAAATTCACAATAGTTTATAACACAATGTTTGCAGTCCAGATAACAGTCAACTGCAAGACCAAGACAATTAAGGAACAAAAGACAAATTCTGTTTTCGAGGATTTCAGATACTTAAAACAGACAAGATATTCCACTTCCACTTCATCCTTTACTTGTAACGACATATCAGAATGGAGTTGGGCAGACTGATGCTCCTGCCACATCTTCCGAAACTGCCTTAGGGACCTTTCCAAAGTGCAGCTTTAAGCAGGAAAATTTTCTCTCTCATTAAGCAAACAGAACAATTGGTTTTGTCTGTCATATCTCCAAAAACCATTCTATTCATAACATTAGAAAGTAACAAAACTCTTCCTCAGTAAAAGGAAAATAAGATGAGCTTCTCTACATATAGGCAGCATAGGACATTGTGAGAACAGACACACATAGGCAGCTCCGTGTTTATAAGGCCACTTGGAAATAAATGTAGTGCAAGGTCTTGTGAATGGAAAGTCTTGTTTGATTACACTGTTTTTACTTAAATATATCCCAAAATGCTTAAAGCCACCCACCAGAGAAACATATTGTGAAAATTACATTCAATGCCAACTCCCCATCTTCTCAAGGAATAGAGGCTAAAAATTAAAGAGAAGTAAAACAGATGATGAAAAACGTGAGAACTGTTACAAGCCCCACTTTGCAGAGTAAGAAAGGAAGAAGCACTATTTCCATGCTACCTTACTCAACTCCAAAGGAGTAATATAAACAGAGAATTAAAATATTATGCCTTTTCAACTCTAGACTACAAACCTGATTTGCTTCTTAAAGACATGCACAGAAGCTACCTTAAAACTTTTCTTCATCTCTTAGTTTTAGAACTGTAAATCAAAACTGTTGGTTAGTTGTATGGAAAACTGCTGTAATCAAACCATCAACATCAAGGGCAGGATTGTAGTGAAAGCCACATCACCAGCAACAATAGCTGAATGAAAACAAGTAATTGTTACTTCTGTTTCAAAATAGTATGCAGATATGTTTCAAATCACTTTTAACAGTCCCAAATCTTTCTAACGAAAACTAAGCAGAAGCAATTTTCTTTCTGCAACTTTCTATCCTCACTCTCCCATACTGGGCACTCATGGTGGGAACAGAGACAAACCTCCACATACTCAAAAAAGACTCAAGTGAGGCATACAAGTAGCAATGTGCCCCTGTCACTCAAACACATAGCAACTGTATGGGTTTTTGCACCCTGTCACATGTCAAGAACTTAAATGGAAAGGGGTTCACTGCAAGGTACTGAGCAGGCCAGTAACATTAAATTGATCTGAATATTGACCTATTTGACTCACTAGTGGCGAGAGGACAAACAATCTTCTACTCCTTTTCTTCAGGCAGTCCTTGAGGTGGTATAAAGACAGAGAAACCAAGAATGAAGCTCTAAATTGATCCCAAAGCCTTTTTCTTGCCATTTCAGGTTGAAACAGGCAAGCCCCTTGCCTCAGTGTTCCAAATACTACTTCCTGAACTCAATAGAAGTCTCTTACAAATTCCTGATCACGACCTTAAAGAACTGGGTGAAGGGGAATTTAGGCTTTTTTTTCTTCCTTCCATTCAGATGGTACATTGCAACAAGTTGGTAGACATGAATAGAAATGGTTCTTAAACAGCAGAAGAAAACAAATGGAATAAAACCACACTGAATCACTGCTCCCCTAATCTCTGCTGCAGTATTTAGCAGACTTCCAATCAGCTGAACATTTATGGTCAGAGAGCTACACATCCAAGAAGCAATGACTAAGTAGTGGAGAGCAGACTGTACCAGCACAGGAAGCTAAATTATGTAATTACCATACAAGTAATGTTTGTAACACCTGTGGCAACATAAATTAAGGGCTTGACAGTTAAAATCTCTCCCCTTTGAAAAAATTAAAACAAAAATACCCACCCAACGAAACACTAACAACCGAAACACTTCAACTGATAAATTTGTTAATATACTTCATATAGTATGAAACAAAAAAATAAATTCCAACCTGGATGTACTTCTTGCTGAAGCATCTCTGCTTTCATGCACAGCCTCGCCATTTTGCTGAACTTCTACTGAACAGTAAAAAACAAATTCACCATAAATATTCAACTATATCTGTTTGAAATATTAATCAAAATATTACCATCTGATTTAATTATTTAAACTTACTGGTTGCTGATGAACTGAGATTTGTAAGAGACTCTTGTTCAACAACCAAACCATCTAGCACAACTGTCAGTTCACCTGTTTGCACCATGCCACTCTTGTTTTCTAAAGAGAGTTTCAACTGTTCTTTCACCTTCTCCACTAAAAATGGAGTAGGGGTGGGTAAGGGGAGAGAAGGAAAGAAGGGATAAAGGAAAGATTAAATTCTAAACAACATTAAAAGAGATTTTCAACACAAAAATGTGATACATGTATTTAATTGTGTAAAACTGAACATGAGACATTTAGATGATTCAAATTAACCACTAAGGAGCTGTGTAAATTTACATCTGCTGTGGGTAAAAGCACAGTTTATTGTAAAAATAAATCAGCCATTTCTGTAGTGTATTCTGTAGGTATGCTATAGGATTCACATGATTTCAGTATTTTGTTGTTAATTATTTCCCACGTTTGCTGTTTTCACCAAGCCCTTTTGAAATTATGCACTACTCATATAACATGAAAAGGCTTGAAGTCAAACAACTTCAGAACTACCGATCCAAGTACTACAAGTCATGGAGAACCTCATTTTACAACCAGGGCTTATGTTCATTTTTCATATCACCTTCCAAAAATAATTCTAAGAGATCACTGAAAGAACATCACTTTGAGGAAGAAGTAAATGCAGAGACTGCATAGAGTCCTTCCTCATTTTTTAAAATTATTTTTAGTAAATCCTTACTAGCATTTTCATAGATCCCAACTCCAAGGATTAAACAGTGACACAGAGGATACCTCAAGTACCCAAAAATCACATCAGAAACTATTTTCACCAAAAGAAACTTTCAGATGATTGAGATTTACAAAAAAATTGTACATGGTGCAGTAAAAGAATTCAATATGACTGATCAGCAGTGCACACATTTGTAAAGAGACATGCATAATCCAGAGGTAAAACAAGCTGTGGATGCTGCATAATTCTCTCTAAACCAACTATTACTAGTACAGCAGTTAAAGCTACACATCATAAATCCAAACACAGTCAGCTATGAGTTCACATTAATTAGGTTAAAATGGTTAAGATCTTTTTTCAGTCTCAGACTAAAAGATTCATTTTTCAAGATACACCACCATATTTCCCTCCATATGACAGCATTCCAAGCTAAAGTTCAAGCTCACTATGCATTTTTATCCACTAAACTAGCGTTTCCTGATTTTTTTCATTCTTAACATATACCATAAATTAACAACAAACATGAAGACAAGGAAGGCTACCATAAGCTATTGCCAGATACCCTCAAGCTGTTACTTTAAAGAGCAGGTTCGACAGTGCAGTTAGGCAGCAGTTACCAGCAGACACCCACAACTATATCACAATGGATTTCAAAGTACTTTAAAGTGCTGGAGCAAGCACACTGCTCCCAAATCTAAGAACTACCGATTCAGCAATCTGCATTTTGGAAAACAGTACTACCTGAAAGAAGAGAAAGAAGAAACTAGACTTCTGCTGAGTTGTTAAATTAACATATTTCCAAATCATCATTTCTACAAAGGGTGATTGGTTTAGCTTCTGCTATTTTAACAGTTTATCTTCCTAGACGAGATCAACAGCTGGCTGTAGACCAGCTGAGTTGGCAAGAAGGCTAGGGTGTGAGCAGCAATTCAGTACTGGTGGTGTTTAGCAGGAGAAAGTAGTTTTTGAATTTAGAGGACTTCCCCCTTATGTTTTCTTCAGTGAAGAGCCTTTCAAGTGCTGCATTTTACACTAGGTAGTATCTATAACTGAGTGACTGAAGGACACCAGTCAGATTATTCTGCCACTGAATTACTGGATAAGCCGGTGCATGTCAAACTTCTGACCTGCCCGCATCAGAAACACTGCACATAAATTACTTTTGATGCAACGTACAGCTAACTTCGTCAACCAGTCCCTGAAAGAATTTGTCAAGTTGTTGTATCCTACACCCCCTGGATCTACAGTAATAAAATATTAACTATTTTACTAGAAATAGTTCGAATATTAACTATTCTTTTTGCTATAATAATTACAGTTTCTTATGATACAGTTTTTCTTAATTTAAAAAACAAGCAATTTTTCTGCTTAACTATGTGATCTTGGGCAGAATCCTTACAATACTGCTGAAGAAACCCCATCTGATTTTGGACTCTGTTTCACTTTTCTGTAAGAATCAGAAAAATGAAGCTTTTTTTTCAGCTCTCCTTTCCCCCACCTCCCTAAACAGAGCTCTCTGGTTTGTGTATCTAACTGGTGAGAAAGGTTAGAGATTGGTTTAGCTGGAATTCTACTGCCACTCTGGAGTGGAATTTAAAGTGTGGATTCACCATCTTGTACTAGTGAAAAAAAATTTTAAAAAAATCAAATTAGATAGAGAAGACCTGTTATAATTCTATTAAAGACAAAATTAGAAGTTACATAGAACACAACAATGTCTAATGTACTAAAAGGAAGTTCTCAATTGTTTCATTAATCAGTGGTTCCTACTGCTCTCTGGGCAGCTAAATTATGAGGGAAGAATATCCAGCTTTTCTACTACTGATTCCAGAGAAAACATGAAAAATTACACAGATGGCTTTTCTGGGAGTTTAGACTTTTTTTTTTTTTTTACATCAAGTCTAAAAAAGATCTTCTAGCAAATTAGTTATTCATTTGCCACAAAACATTGTATTTAATCACTTTGCTTTTACTTAATTTGTAGTAACTCATAATGTTTGTTTCAAAATTATTATATCCCATTGTTACACTTCAATTGCTCTCAATAGCACAGACATCTCTAGAAGAGACAAGTAAAGACATCAACTGAAAGTCAATTGTAACTACATGTACAGTTAGTAGTCTGGTTGCCAGTTTGATATATAGATTAGTAATAATAATTCTACTTTACTCAAAATATCCTTCATGATAACTTACATTTTCTATTGTGTATTTCCAAAGCTTGTCTCAAGTCTACAGTGGCTCTTCCTAATAAAGCATCTGCTTTTAAAGTGTGATGGCTCCACACTCTAAATTCCAGCGTAGTCTGTGGAGTCACGTTCCTGCATATAAAATACATTTTTTAAAAAATATATACAGATTTTAAAGTAGTCATTCTTGCTATTAGGAGTATTTGAACTTAATTCTCTTTCTCATATTTATTGTACTTCTATTGTATTTGATACTAATTAACTGAAAAAAGTTTTGCTACTGCAAGGGGAAATTTTTAACTAAGAACTGCAAACACTACGATATTTTTACTTAAGGTCAAAGTGCATTACTACAATCGCATAAGGAACTTGAGGAGTATCAGAATAACCTACACTAAGCTCAAATCTCAGTTCTATAGAACATACCTTTATTTATGAAAGACATACTTTCCTTATTCCTCACCCTTCCAGCATTCTAACTAAAAATTCACATTATTAAATGTGGATAACAAGGTGGTAAGTATACTTGTCTGTCACTAGAAAAAAAAATACTAAATATTTTAAAAAAGGAAATAGCAACCAATCTGCTACTTTGCAAGCAGGAAGAACCCACTTAATATGGGTTGGCTGGCCATGAAAGTGTTGATACAACATTATTTGTGAATCCACAAATATATATATTAAACCATGATGCATACTCACAGATATCAGAGGGGGAAAATCAAATTATGAAGTTAAAGTAAAAACTAGAGGGAAGCAGAAACGTAAAGAACCCAATTACAGTAATATGATGATAACCTTTGGCAGTGATCTCCGCCCTGCTCAAGAAGGAAAACGGGAAGCTATGCTAGATCCTGGAGAGTAAGTTTTGTAGTACAGGGTTTAGTACTGCAAGAGTGCTCCTGGTTGTGAAAAATAGAGTAGAATCACTGTACTGCAAAAAGTCAAAGGCCACATATCCATCAGTATTGGATACAGAAAGTTATATCAGCATTGATGAAGACAATACTAAAACGAACCCTCATCCTCCCAACAACAGAGGTAGCTTTATAGTCACTTGAACATGTTTGGACAACATGGATCATTTCTGCTGAAAAACTTCTAATGGAAGTCTCACTAAAAGACCAGCTCAACAAAGAAAAGAAAAGGAAAAAAAAAAAAACACAACAACAAAAAACAACAATAAAAACAGAAACAAACAAACAAAACCCAAAAAAACCCATACACACCTACACATGGAGAATATGTTGCTGGTGTTCATGCACACCCATATAAGTGAAGGGAATTTGGTAAGCCAGACAGTTCACTTATCCTCAAATAGACCAGGCAACTGAAGCAACGATACCATCCCAACAGCCAGAGGAGGAGGAGGCGGCCAGAATACCTTATATATGTAAGGGTAAGATCCTCAGTGAGTAGTACTCATGATGGAATTAGTCTGTTTGGCTGTACTGTGCATGCCAAATGGCCTCAGTTCTGTCAGCTCACCAAACCCTGCCAAATCTAACCTGCCTCCTCAACAGAAACTGGTCTCTGAATACACCGATAGCTCTGTGCCTGTGCTAGCAGTAACTCCTGCAAATCATCGTCAGCTCCAAGAATATGTTATTCTCTTTTGTAATACTGCAAAGGGCTAATGAGCTCTACTAAACCTGAAACATTGAGAAATGCGGCACAGGAATACCCTACTTGCTTCAGCCCAAGTCTATAGTTAATAATTAAGTGTTCCCAAGCAAACGGCTCCCCAAAGTTAGGCATGCTGTACCACTCCCCACTACTGCTAGTTACACGAACCCAGCGTGGTTCTCCCTACTAAAAAAGCTGGCTATTGCTCAGACGGGTCAGATGCTGTAGAATGTAGTGGCTCATGCTCAGCGACACTTGATAGTAGCTACACTACTTCCAGATCCAAACCCGAAGCCATACAATCTTGCTTGTATAGTAATGCACTCTAGCCAACTGCACAGTCCAAGACTGCCAGTTCTACACAGATTTCATACTTGGGTACATCCACACCTGTAGCACAGTTAAACCAAATTAAACCACAAGAATATTAGAAAGGTCAAATATTAGGGTAAGTTGCAAGGTCACTCTGCAGTAAATTGTCCTTGTGTGTGTATCCCTCAATCATGAAATTTAAAGAAAAAAAGTGACCTTCCTCATAACTGCTACTTATCCAGCTGTGATTTTTTTTTTCCTTTTAAAGTTGAGAATGGCATGATTACAATTAGTAACATCTTCTAGAGAGGAATCTTAAAACTTGAATGGCTCATACTGCTAACAAATATCAAGAGTATAACACATATAGCAACTGTATGCAAGGAACACTCTCTGTACCAAAAAATATTCTCAAAACATAGTAAGAATTGAGGAAAAAATTTCATTTGAGATAAATATCATCATATGTCTGCATTTAGACAGCCAAAGAAAACTATGTACGCAGCCAAGCTTAGTAAATATTTGCCTGCAATATCTGCCTAATAAATAGTATTAAACAATAAAAAAAAAAAATCTACTTACACTGTCAGCTGCTCATCCCATTTTGGATTTGAAGAACTACTTGATTTTGCCGTTTTCTTAATTTCTCCATCTGCAGTTAATTCAGTGTAGAAAGTTGTTCCAAACCAATTCTTTTTCCGTTTCAGTTTGGCACTAGAAACTAATAAAATACATTCCTTTATCTATAACAGCATACTGTTGCTGAAAAACAGAAGATGTACTGCCTACACAATGTATAAAACACAGCATGGCAATGTTTCTCCTCACCTTTTCTACTTCCACTGAACATAAAGAGGTCAATGCTAAAATGGTAGCTTTTATTTTCAAAAGCTACTTTGTCAGTTAGTTGAAACCAAGTGTGACATATTCTCTTCACCACATACTGGTAGGATGGGTTGGAGAGACAGTACAACAATTAATTTAGGCATAAACACTGAAAATCATGTGGGTTCTTTTCTTTTCTCATTGTTCTTCCTACTTTTCCCTTAACTGAAAAATATTTGAGTATGATACATCCAAAAGATTATCAGGCAGATTTTTTTTTTTTAATTCTATGTAGTTATGAAAGCATATGCAGTTCAGGCCTATTTCAAAATGTCCCTGTATAGCAAAGCTTCATCTCCTTCCTATATTACCTGTGTGGTTAACCTGCAGTTTAACACATCAGTTTGTTAAAAGTAAGAAATCAACTCTCAAATTTCCCCTATTTAAACAGCTTTGCAGATGAACTTATAGTTCTTTTATATATTCAACAATTAAGAAATAGCGAATGACCAAAAAAAGCTATTTTTTATCTTCGAAGCGCTGGCGAGATCCTCAGAGCTCCTAAACATAGATCTGTTCTCCCACTTCCTCACCCAGCAGAGGAAGTCACTATAAAAACCAACAGCAGCCTAACTGCCAACTTTTTAAATTCTATTTCAGGCAGATGTTGTCTTCAGAAGACCACATCAGTAAACTCACAGCTGTACCTACCTGCTGGCTATGCCTTCTCCTCATTCCTCCCACACTTCAGCATGATTCTCTTTCCCTTCACTTTCCAACTGAAGCAAAGCTGAGAATTTTCAGCTACTTGGAAACAATCCTTCCCTGTTACTTTTCTGTACGGTACTCGCTAATTCAAAAATAAGTGGAAGTTAACTAAACTGTCTTAAAGGGAGACAAAAAAGGTCTGTCATGTATTTCTGGATTACAGTATTCAGAGACGTATAGATTAGTTACTTAAAAGTTAGTGGGATGCAACCATCCAAGATCGTAAAGGCATTAGCCACAGACTTTTATTGAATTTCAATTAAAAGGTATGCACTCCCTCACATTTGTAAAGTCCAGCCTAACTCATGGATCACGTGGTGTAAAAGGCAGCCTTGATAACGACAAAAGATTAATGTAGAAGACTACAAACATCATTTCACGCACGTGTCACATTTTTTAATCCGAAACCATGATATATTTTTAAGCTTTAACAACCTCTATTTCTTCCAGTTTTTCTTCCGTATTTTGCTTTCATAAGCAACTGCTACACTTGTTAAATCACAGGTATTTAGTCATAATAGTCAACCTTCCTTTTAGTTTCCCTCCTTGTATCCCATTACATTTTAAGTCATCAAGTCCTGAGTCCCCAAACATGCAAGGAAACCATTATTTTTTGTTAGGACTTCTTCTAAAAATATTTGTTGTAACAAATATTAGCAAAAGACTTCAAAAAGAACTAACAAGACAAGATATCTTGCCAAGTATATTCGAAAAAATACTGATGGCAAAACTTGTCAGCAACATGCTGTAACTGTCGAAGCAAGTCACTACTCCATATGAATTTCTCTACAAAATGCATATATGCTACTTGCTGCCTTTATAAAAGTGATTTTTAAGTATAGTTCTTGAAATATAAGTCTAGATTCTACAGCAGCATTAACTAATCTGAGCATAAACCAGCACCGTGCCTGCTGGCGACAGACAGAGTCCAGCTATCTCAAAGGGGAAAAAGGATTCTTGGCCACAAGCTTGGCCACTGAGAGGGCTTTAAATTAGGTTCAAAGGGGGAAGGGGACATCTCCCAGCTCACTAGGGATGAGACCAGGCTTGGCGTGCCAGGGTCAGGGGTGAGATCGACAGCCCAGCTCAAGTGTGTCTACACCGACGCACGTACCATGGGCAATAAACAGGAGGACCTGGAAGCCATTGTACAGCAGGACGGCTACGACGTGGTCGCCACCACAGAAACACGGTGGGACAACTCGCATGACTGGCATGCTGTCATGGATAGGTACAGATTCTTTAGGAAAGACAGGCCAACAAGGAGAGGTGGTGGAGTTGCTCTGTATGTGAGGGAGCAACTGGAATGCATTGAGCTTGGCCTGGAAGCGGATGAGGAGTTGAGAGCTCCTGGGTTAGAATTTAGGGACAGCCTCATACGGGTGACATTACTGTGGATGTGTACTACAGGGCACCTGACCAGGAGGAGGAAGTTCATGAGGCCTTCTACGGACAGTTGAAAGTAGCCTCACAGTCACAGGCCCTGGTTCTCATGGGGGACTTCAACCACCCTGACAACAGCTGGGAAGACCACACAGCCAGGCACACGCAACCCAGGAGGTTCCTACAGAGCATCGATGATAACTTTCTGATGCAAGTGGTGGAGGAACCAACAAGGCAAGGTGCTCTGCTGGACCTTGTACTAACACACAAGGAGTGTCTGGTTGAGGATGTGAAGGTTGGAGGTAGACTCGGCTGCAGTGACCATGAAATGGTGGAGTTCGGGATCCTGCATGGAGGAAGCAGGGCGATAAGCAGGATCAAAACCTTGGACCTCAGCAGAGCTAACTTCAGCCTCTTCAAGGAGCTACTTGGAGGAATCCCGTGGGCTAGGGCTCTCAAAGGCAGGGGGGTCCAAGAGTGCTGGTCGCTGTTTAAACATCACACTGCTCCTGAGCATGGAGGAAGTATCCCCCTGAGAAAGAGATCTAGAAAAGGAGGCAAGAGACCAGCATGGATGAACAAGGAGCTTCTAGCGGAGCTCAGGTGGAAGAGAAAGGTCCATGGAATGTGGAAAGAGGGACAGGCCACTTGGGAAGAATACAGGAATGTGGTCAGAGCATCACAGAATCACAGAATAGTAGGGGTTGGAAGGGACCTCTGTGGGTCATCTAGTCCAACCCCCCTGCCGAAGCAGGGTCACCTACAGTAGGC